AGGTAAGTATACATATACTTCATAATTTATATACATATATATAGAGTTTCGTAATATTATAACTATAGTATAATAATTAACTGTAATATAGTTATATATATTATGAAGTATAAGTAACGAATTACATATAACTTAACTTTATTCTTTAAATATAATAACTACGGTAACGTACCTATGTATCCACATAATGGAAATGTTTCAGAAAAACAGAAAGAAAAAAACTAATTTCAAGAAATAAGATTGCATAAATTTTGTTAGTCTACTACGATGTAATGTTGTATACACTATATATTTTTATAAATAAATACACATAAAATCTTACCTATTCTTAGCTTAAAAAATAAATAAAAATGCCATCATACAAAATTATAAAATGTGAGAAAAAAAGACAGAGAGGATTCTGACAAAAAATAAAATCAACATCATATAATTAATACTTGGATAAAAGAATCTACTTTGATATCGCAATATCTTTTGAAAGAAAACTCTTCGTTAAGTACCGTGCAATAAATGTTACCCTTCGCATTGCTATTGCATTGACAAAAGCATGATAATGAGCGCGACCGATTTCCAAGATTTGTTCGATCAAAATCAAAATCGGTAGTTTCTATCGTCGCAAAGAGTATAATGAGATGAATATATTTGTTCAAAACACGCAGAGTTCTTGAAAATCCATCACATTCACATAGATCTTATATGTATATATTGTAACCATTATATATATTTATATATATATTGTGTGAACACAATATAGAACATTTACACATTTTATAAGTTAACGCGTTTATATCTTGTAAGCATAGTCTTCACGAAGTTCCATTGGTTACTTTCGATGGCTGCGCTTCTTTTCGGAGTCTTAAGTAATCTAATTACTTAAGTAAAATCTAATCACATTTCGCTCGATATTTTGGATGGTAACGAATTTGTATTATATTGTTCATGCTTTATGAGGCTAGTGTATATCTCACATTTATTGAACATTTTTGCGAATGTAAATGTATATTAATGATCAGATACAAACTGTTAGGCACGTATCTGTCGATATATCCAATTAAATTCTCTCTCTGAATCCGTTGCTTAAACTCTCAATAAATACCAACAGGTATCTCAAATACTTTGAACATCGTTAATTTTTTTTTTCAAAGTCGATAACTCCTCAACTTTCGTTTCCTCGCGATTCGTATAAAGCTGTACTCCTCTCGGCATCGACACAGAATTCTCTACAATTTTTATTGTTGTACGTTTCGGCGATTATTTCACGAATTACCGGTTGTCAAATTGCTATTTAGTAACTCAGTGTTGGCATTGTTCGCTGCTAATTGCTGTTGTTCTTTTTGCTTCCTGCGTCGCCTGCGATTCCGCTTGTGCACGCAGCACAGCACCGTGAAGACGATGAAAAGGAATCCCGAAACACACGTGACTACCAGTATCCAGACTGAGCGGGCCTTTTCAGTCTCCACCTTCTGCTGTATTATGATCGAACACTGGTTATATAATTCGTACGTTCGATTGCTGAATTGCAAATTGGTGCATTCCTCGGTTATGATGTTCGAGTTGGTGCAATTGAAAAAAATTGGCTTCATCTTGATCTGATGTAGCTTCACCCAGGCATTCAACATTTCGCATTCGCAACCATTCGCAGCGCTGTTGAATTTGATTATGTTCCGCGAGAGATCGAGCAATTTCAGTGAGCAGAACGGCGCCAGATCCTCGGTATCAACCGAGGTGATCAGATTCTCGGATACGTTAAGGGAGACAAGGGTCGGCTGAGGGCCGATATATGGGATCTTGGTGAGCTTATTCCTGGTCAACTGTAACATCTGGATGGGCGAGGTAACTTCCATCTTGAACACTGAGTCGGTAAGCTTGTTGTAACCGAGATAAAGCGTGCGGAGATACGGCAGTTGGAAGAGGCTCTTTGGCAGAGTGTCACAACCGTTTTGTGAAAGATCTAGCACTTCCAGATACTTCTGTTTGGCAAAGGCTCCTTCCTCGATATTTTGGATAAAATTGTCACCCAGATAGATATAGGCTAAGCTTTTATAAGAGGTCAGACTATCGTTCGTCAACTCTCTCAATCGATTCACAGTAACATCCAGTACCTATAACAAAAATTTCCATCAAATATATGCATATTAATTAAACAAGACATAAAAAGATTACAAAAACAGGAAAACATATATATGTTTATAAAAAGATTGTCTGTATAAATAAAAATAATAAACATACATCGTTCAACTAAATTGGATTGGAAAACGTTAAAATCTTATATAATTTCAATATCCAGTAATATCAGAGTTTAGTAATAGGTACATTAATTACAATGAAAAAATAATAAATAATATATATATGTGTAAGAATAAAATAAACAAAAATATTATTTTAATAGCTCTTTTCTAAAGACACGCAATGTGTTTCTTAAATAAAAATTATCATACCATTCACGTCATTTATCAGATTTCTGTTAGTAAAAACGTTTCGAGATAAAAAGAATGGTAATTCCGTTGGATGGAAAGAGACCGGAATTTATCAATAAGATCTTTGTTTCCGTAAAGATGCATTTGTCAGATTAGCCGGTCAACGAGAAGAATTAATGGTAATTAATTCAATAATACAAGAACACGAGATATTATGATTTCTTTGACGCAGACTCTTGATATGTAAACGCAATGAAGAAATATACGAATCTTTCAATGCTTTTTATTTATATATTAATTTAATAAACCTCGCATGCAACTTTTTGCTTGTTACAGAGTTTCGGTATCGATCATACTGATTTGCAAAATTACAAGTCTTGCAGTGTTTCATTAATCAAGAATGATTAATTTATTTATTTCATATAATTATGAGAGAGAGAGAGAGAGAGAGAAAGAGAGAATATTAGATATTTTCAACACAACTTCTATTAAGATGAAATAGATTTTAAATTAATTGAAAAATGGACTACTTATTCTTGGTGCTTTATTTATTTTAAGAATTTGAACTGCTTATAAGATAAATAATGAGATAAAATCTACTTTACTTCTCTTCTTTATTTCATTTAAGACACATTTGTAAACATCTTGGGATATTTAAAAGAATCTTTGTTAACGTTTACATCGTGCAGACTTAACTTTGAAATTAGTATGTCTGATATTTCTGCGAACGCATCCATTAAATTCTACGTACGAGTTAGCTTTGTCGATTGAATGTATAAACAACTCTTTATGCGCGCTAATTCATATATGTGATTGCACAGATTTACATGTAATTCCCACAAGTGCACATTTAATGGAGGATTTTTCAATGTAAATTAATGTTCTCTTTAATAACAATTTAATAAAGTGATTCAAGATCGAATCAAAAAAAGCATTCTATTAAGACAAATTTCGTTTGAAACGAAAAATAAGAGATTGAGACTGAATAGATATTAAAATCTTTTATAATATTATCAAGTTGAATTTTTATTTACAAAAAATTATTTATCGACACGAAGTGTAGCTTGAAGGAAACTCAATTGGATCAGGTCAAAGAAAATTTGCAATGAAATTGCTCTCGGTTGCTCATCCGATACGAAAGATCAAATGTTAGAGCATTGGTAATATCTCTGCACGACTAAATTTTCTCAAGTGTATTGCGGAATGCATCCATCCTCGTGACCCTGGACAACCCAATCTCCGGATTTAGCATGTCTGGAGTTTTGCCTGGGATTCATCGGGAGGCAAGTTTACCAACCAAAGTACGAAAGTATAGTAGTAGACGTACGGGGATTTACGGTTGTATCGGACGGATACAATTGAAGGAAGAAAAAGAAAAATAGCGGACATGGAAAGCGATGAAAAGATTTAAGCTCCGGAAAGGAACATGCATGCAAAAATATTTCGTTAGATTATAGCTACAAAGGCTCGCGTTGTGATACCGTAGAAATATCCGACTGGAGAAAGTGATTAATTATTCGCACATAAAGTCGTTAACAATGTACGAATTAAAGGGCTCAAAGACAGATTTATCATCGCTTTAATATTACATAAAGCGCGTAATGTATTATTACCGCAAAAGAAATATCGTTAAAAAAATAAAACAGTGATCAACAAAGGCGTCTTCGAAAAGGTATCAACAAGTATAAACATTTTATCGTCGACATTGATAAAGCGAAACTTCTGTAATGCTGTTATGAAGTACGCGTTACAAGACAGCGCACGCGTTAACCTGCTGGGACATCAATCCGTCTCGCAAGTCAGTCTTGTGTATCCTTTGTAAATTAAGGTTACCAGATTTACCTCTTTTGATGTAAATAACGTGAAATAAACAAGAGAGCACAAAAGGGAATATATGTTTAATATAATATTCCAAAAATTCTACTTTTTTTAGTTATAACTAATTCTATTTTATTTAATATGAGGTTTTAGTAATAAGAATTAAGATATAGAGTAAGAATTAATATAATAAGAGTTGAGATAATAAAACTATAACGACTGTGCAAAAGAAACTTGGACAGTTAAAAAATTTGAAAGTAAAAAAAAATAATAAATTATCTTAATTATTAACTCTTATTAACTCTTATTATACATCTTAATTCTTATTGTTGGAACTACTTCTTTTGTACATTTTTCATTTAAACTTTTAATATTAAGCGTTTTGCTTAATCTTTCGCGTATAATATAAAATTAAATAAAGAAAAAGGGAAGACAGAGAACGAAGAGAAATAAAAAAGATTGCTATAATTTTTAGTATAGTTTAATGTAAACTTTTTTATTAGTTTCTATTTTATACGAATTATTGTAATTGAAATAACAAAGAAAAGATACTCGATGTGTACTTCGACTTTTGATTCGTACAAAATATAATATATATATTTATTATATTCAATTAATATAAGAACAGATTGACGATATTTATTGATAATCTTACCTGTATGTCAGCCTTTAGATTCGTCGGGATATCATGCAACTCCAAATTCGAGCAGGATGCTTCCAGCATCGAGTAGGTATTCATCCTGTTGTATCGGCATTTCTTCATAGGAGTGTCCCCATTGACGAGTTGCGAGCCTGGCGAACCCAATACTAAAACATCCGGTACCGAGGCCACAACGAAACCCAGTAATAGAAAACCATTAAAAACAAGGATGCTCATGTCTGCAACAGAAACAGAATCGTACGTTTTTGAACTTTGCCCAAATCAAAAAGTCCTCGATTGGACAATCGTTTTGTGAATGCACGAGGGGGATGGAATCATTAGTTGCTTTCCATTTAAATACAAGTGAAATTGGGTCTAAAGCTGAGTATTTTATACTCATAGCGTTTTTCCTTGGCTGCACTATCGCCCATCAGTGCAACTCAGACAGGGTATTTCTTTGGCTGGTGGTAGGCGAATTCATTCAGTGTAACGTGTTTCCGTAGCTATAGTGTGGTGCAAATTTTATGCACAAAGTAGGATTTTGCTACACGATCTCAAAGAGACGGTGTAGAGCCAGTGTGACATTAAAAATTTGAAAATGGAAGTCAACCGGCAGCAGAATTAAACACGATAGCATGAAGTAGTGTACACCATGATGTATGTACACTTGTGTAATGCAACACTGATGCAGTACTTACACGCAACTGCAGTGCAGTGCGAAGTTACACTCAGTGTTCTCATCCCAAGAGAAAATGCTATCATATTAATGATGTCACTATTTGCTTACTTTGGTAAAAAGTTATTACATGTCATCATAGATTCATAACCTCACTTTAAAATAAGTTTACAAAACTCACTAAAGCCCGTATCGGACTACCGATTCTGCAAGCCGACCTGATTACCGACTAATAATGGACCAATCACGTTGAATCAGTCTTATTGGTTCATTATTGGTCGACAGTCAAAGTTGGCAATCAAGGCTTAAAGCACAGCGTCTCGATCTTGTGCAAATTATAGATAAAAACTAGTTTTTATAGTTAAATCTCAATTGTCAGAATGCAAAAGGAACGTGCATTCAACTCAGTTATGACGTCATAAATGAGAATTATCTAAGAATCGATGTAAATGGAAAGCAACTTTAGTAGTAGAGTGAAAAATAAGAAGGTGAACCATTGTGCATAATTATGGGACTCACGAAATGATCAGTATTGAGTCCTTGCTATTGTGTCACAGTATATTAAATTGTATTAAAACATTTTTTACATAAACATTTTTTCTTTAACCTATATATCATTTCTTCCATTTTAATCCGAAAGATTTTAGCAAGGCAATGGGCAGCTTGCGAAGCAGTTAAAGGAGTTGATTAGCAACCCGCGAGATAGCTTTGAAAAAATTGTGGAAACTTTTCCAATCGCTCGTACCTATCTCCCCGTAACATCCATTTACGTTACTTCGGTATTTCCGTAGCTTAATTAAGTATCCTGCGAGGTGAAAAAAGAAAGCGAAATGCAAGAGAGAGAGAGAGAGAGAGAGAGAGAGAGAGAGAGAGAGAGATCACTTTGAAATCGTAATAGCTCCAGCTACCGGAGCACCAGCGCTTATTTGCGTTCGCTCGTTAGATTTGCTTTTCATGTTCATTCGGAGAACGGTATCATAATTCCGATAAGCATCGTTTTCGGCCGAATTCGATCCGACAAACGCAAGCGGACATTTTCACATCTATTACACGGCATGCATCACGCGGTGTGTCGCTGACGAGATGCGATTGCGAGAGCTGACCTCTTATATAGCCGGTTAAACTGTCAGTCGAAATAGCTGACTGCCCATCCGGTCCGCCGACGAATTTCCAGGTGATTCCAACTTTACGGGTGGAGAGAGAAAATTTCGGCCATGTAAATTTTCGGACAGCGGAGCGAAATTACGAAGGGAAGAGAAGGGTTAGGCAGAAAGTTAATGAGGCTTCTCTCTTTTATTACGTTTCCTATATCCTAGTTTGATGTAAAGGCATAAAACGTGGCGCTTCATGCAAAAGAAATGGCTGCCAAAAACGTCATTATGTTCGTTATCGCAATCGATCGCCCGTTTATCCTGATCAAATTGCTCTTACAGCAGGTTAAAGTAATACACAGAGAGCATTTTAGCTGGCAAAGTGGCTTCGAGAAACTGAGGAATATCGGATCAGTAATGGCGCGATATCCTCCGCGATATCCTCCGCAACACAGATGAGACGTAACTTTAATTTTTCTAAAGATTATATGGCATACAAAAGAAAGCAGTAGTAAATCCAAAATGTCGATTTGCTTACTACTTACGTTTCACTGTTTAAATTATTTTTTGTGTGCCATATCGTTTGCATTTTTTTGCAGGTGTGTATAAAAAAGTTGAATGCGAATACAATTTTATTGTATTATTATTATTACGATATTTTTGCACGTACTGTTCTACTTGTAGAATATTATAAGATCTTAATCTTAATCTGAGTCCCGTAAGAAACTTCCTTTTTTATATCGTGCGACACTTCGTGTACATTGAGAATATTTCACCCTTCTTCGCTCCACCGCTAAGCGCATCGTTGCGCGGAGATGCAGCCGTTGCGGATTTTTATCGCGAGATTTATTGCGCATTTCGATGAGATAAAAATTTCATGGCGCTCTGCTCCCCGAGGCTGGATATTATAGCTGGAAACCCGGTTTCTCTCAACCATAATTAAAATTAAATTGCAGTTAGCTAAGACGAAAGTGCTCTCTTCGCCAAAGCCGAAAGCTTAATAGCATTGCGTAGGATGCACGGAGGAACAGGAGAAAGGAAGATGATGCGCCTGCACGTTGTAGTTCGTCGTTTGTGTAAAGAACGATGATGACGACGATGAGAACTTCACCGATTTCCGTATCTTACGCTCATTTGCTTGCATTTGAAAACGTTATTAATACAAATTGGAACAGCCCCCCTCCCTCTCTCTCTCTCTCTCTCTCTCTCTCTTTCTCTCTTTCTCTCTCTGCGAAACTTACGACCGATATATTTCCCAATACAACATCTTGATAATCAAACTTACTCCACTCCGTGACAGCGTTATTCTCTTCTTCCATTTTCCTTCGGTTTGTGAAGAGAATTATGAGTCTATTAGTTCTAGAATTAATTTGATAATTTTACGAGATATTTCTTGCTTAATTGGTTGCCGTATTAGTTTCGTAAATCATACAAAATAATTCTGACGTATTTTAAAAGATTTGTGAAATTAGATTGATGATTAATACACTTTTATTTTTTTAGTTTATAAAAATATTCTAAAAATTCTACATGAGAAAAATTAATTATTAAAAATATGTATTAAAAACATTTTAAATAATGTACATTACATTACAAAGTACGCTATTATATACAACATGTTGAAATATTCATCATATGTATAAGAAAACTATTTTTACGCAATGTTTTTATCGAGAAATGCAAAGAGAGATTTTTGAATCCTTTTTCCTTTATGGAATATTCCTGTTTGCAGATCCTTCTTCGAGAAAGATCTTGATAAAAATATTGATGTAATATCACGAGAAAGCGCTTGAAAGCATTCGAAAGAGAGCATTTTCATTGATCATTCAATAATACCGCTTCGAAAGTTGAAAACACGGAATGTGCTTTATTTACGGATTATTATAAAGCCATTGTTTTTAGCCAACACGTTGACTAAATATCACTTGATATTAATTTATTATTTTATGTTCACTTTTGATGATTCGTGAATAATATATTCACAACGATAATACATTTCACGCTGGTAGTGTGACGAGTTGAGCGCTTCCATTTCAATCAGCAACGAGAGCAAACACAATTTAAAAGTACATTTTGCAATAGGAATATAGCTCGTTAAAGCATGAACAAGAGTCCAAATGACTGAGTCGGATGTAACATCGCGAAAAATATCTGGAATATATCGTTACACAAAAATTGATTAATAACGGGTTTTAAAATTTTTTTCAAATTGTTTATAACAAAAATCTTACAGATTTGAAATTATTGTAAAATAATTAACAATTCATGAAATAGATTACTATAACTGAAACAATAATTTTTATGAAACTTGTAAAAATCCAAGATTAATTTTCAAAAGGTTAAAAAACTAATTTTTTTTTAATCTGGTAGTTATAACTGGTTTAACATTAAAAAAAAAAAATTTTCTAGAATTTCTATAAACGTAATTGATATTATTAAAAATGATATACACACAAATTAATTATTGTAAAATTTCTATTATCAAAAATTCGTAAGATATGAAAAAATGTCATCCATTATACTCTCGCAATAAATTCATTTCAACTTTTTTACTTATTCAATTATTATATATATATTATTTTCAGCTATTTTATTCATTTATCATTCATTTATTTATTGCGCTTTCTGGGAGTCCCTTCAAGCGGCAATTTTAACTTTTGGAGGAAGTGAACTATTCGCGCGTGAGACGAATAATCGAAGGATAAATTTTCCGTGAAGCTCTCTCGTGTAGCTTTGTCGATGCCATGAGATTCGGAAGTCAATGCTATCGACAATGAAACAGTATACCGCTCACTGACATTGTGCCGGGGAGCTTATTTCCGGTGCGTACGATGCGGGAATCGAGAGGAACGAGGATCGGTGGATCCGTTTACAAGATGCCGTGATTCATGGTCCGTGCAGTTTGCAAGTTTTGAAAGAAGACGACACGGTGTTTATTGTGCCAAGATCTGATGAACTGCAGAGGCAGTGTGGTGAGTTTCAACCAGCCGTCAGAGCTTATCGGCCGAATATCGTCCATACGTTGCTGTTAATATTCGCATGAGAGGTCAGGTGAACCTCTACACATCATGTCTGTAACACGTGTGTCAAATTTCGGACGTTTGTAGAACACGGAAGACACGTTTGTGTCCCATTTCAAAAGAGATTCACATGGATGATCGCAAATGAAAAAAAAAAAGCTTCTATTAAGATAAATTGTAAAAAGTGCGACTTCAAAGGATATTCTTATATTAATAATTCGTTACTGAAAAGAATGATTGGCAGTTAAATTTATTAATGTTTAAGCGTTTTTTTAAATAATTTTCATATATATATGAATATTTAAATAATTTTCATTTTGATATATATGAAGTGAAAGTTCTTTTTTAATGCATGTACGTCGTAGACTAGCTTTTGTATAAAGAGAAATTAATGATTATTAGAGCTCTTTACGAAAATTATTGATATCATATTATAATATATCGGTAAAAGAAGCCCTCATTAAAATTCAAGCAACGAAATATCCTGCG